AAAAATCATTATTTTTCTCTTTAACTTAATTACAATGATGCTATATCTTTTAGTAAAATATCTTAGGCCAATTATGGTAAAAGGGCTTCCTTATCTCCTATGACTTGAATTATATAACAAATTATTGCCTATTTGGCAATAAATGAAACCACACCCAGGTAGCGTTTCTCTACAACTCTTTCTTCATGATATTGGAGTAAGCAGAGGGGTGAGGGCCAAAGGAGGAGGGAAGTTTCTTAAATGCCACTGTACTGGAATTAAAAAATATCAAGGAGGTTTGGGCTGATCTTGGAGGTGCCATAGGAGACTGGGGTCTTCAGCTGGGCTAAAGGGCATTTGGGGAGGTGAAGAGAGGGAAGAATATAGTAATAAAAGATCCACAGATTTTCAAAGGTGGGAAGCTGAGTGTGGTATGATCAGGAGATGGTAAAATATCTGACTTTTCTAAAATAAAGGGGCACTCTACTTCCTATTTCTAAAGTGATAAGGTTTTAATTATTATAAGCATCCTTTACATAAAGTTTGGTAACTAGAATTCTTACAAATAGAAAATGCGAGATTGTTTCTATTTCTATGATTTATCTTTATGATAAGATTCTTCTATTGATATCATCATTGTTTAGGATCTTGAATCACTGACACTAAGTGGCTTAATAAAAGTTAGAAGAAAGTCATTACAAATGTTTCAACAGATGAGGACAGTGATCTCTAGATAAAGAGTGTGATCATCACCCACTGTTTGCAAGAGCAAAATTTGGAAACAATCTTCATTATGCAATAATGTGACTGATTAAATACACCTATGCAAAAAGAAACCATGCAACTGTAAAATAATGCTATAAAACGTGAATTATATTGATATGGAAAGATATGTTAAGTAAAAAAACTCTGGATACAAACAAGACCCCGCCAGATGATCTAGTTTTAATTTTAAAAGCCTGTCTCTGTCTCCTTCCATACATCCTGTTCCTCTCCTCCAACTTTTTCCAATTAAAAAAAATCTGAAAAGATACACGATAGAAAAAGGTCTGGTAGTAGTACTGATTTATCCTCTTGGGGGAAATTTTGGATGTTTCCAAACGGGCTCTTTTTAGTTCATCTGTATTTTCTAATTCTTCTACAATAAACATGAATTGCTTTACAATTTAAAGAACCATTTTACAGAGAAAGAGAGATAAATTGAGGAGAAGTGAGTCAGGAATACCTGGAGCACACCTCCGAGGTTGACATCATGCTGGACTATCACCATATTTTCCCACTAAATACCCTTTGGCGCCAGTATCAGAATTTAGAGCTAGCTAGATTGAATATAGCCTGACTCAGCATAGTATTTGTTTTTGCTCTTATGCTAATGCTTAAAAGCTTGAAACTCTGCACTCTAGTCAATCCATTTCATCAAATATTTATTGAGCACCTACTATGTGCCAAGCATTAAGGACACAAGATTAACAAGACGTAGTTCTATTGCAACTTAAGTCAATAAATGCCCTTACAGAAGTTTGTACATCTTTGAAAGTCCCAGATGGTTTTTCTGACGATATTAGCCAAGGGGAAAAAAATCATAAGCAATCCTCATACAATACGATGTCCACGAGAGTTCATACTAAAAATAATCCATCCATGTTTTCACTGTTTTAACTCATAATATTTCAAACACAATGTAGAATTGTGCTGAATCATTATTAAAAAAATACCCACATATTTCTGGCTCTTCACTATGATACCAGCACCATTCTCCTTTTAAATCAATAGCCTTTCAATTCTTTTCGTAGAAATTATTTCAATCTGTTCAGACTTTGAGCCAAAACTCTCAATTTGCCTTTGAGATCTTGAACTGAAGATTCCAATTCCCATCTAACACAAAATTGTTTTTAAAGGCTAAATCAGGCAGTATGTTTCAAACTAAAGTTGCTAATCCCTGGGTAACCATAAATTAAACACTTAATAAATGAAACATTTAAAGTTGGAATTAGTGAATCTGAATAATTTTACTAGTTATATTATACATTATAATTAATTTTGAATTAAAATTTCAATTTCAGTTAAGTAATTTTCACTTCTTCATTTGTATTTTCCATTATTACTCCTTTATCTAGTGGGGTTTTTTTTTTTTGCATGACAATTATCATAGCATTTAAATGAATCAGTGTGTAAAGGAACTTGGCAATCATATTATACCATTATTTTATTTTGTGGAAGAGAAAATGTAAGCCCAGAAGTAAGTAATTTGTAGGAGTATATGTTTCTTTGCATAATGCCTTATGAAATATAAGTACATGATAACTGGTAACTATGGTTATTAGAAGCTTATCCCTCAGATTCCTAGTCCATTACCATAACTTGCCCCAGATAATTTCTCCATACTCTTTGGTTAAACTAGTCTTTGGACTTGTACTCTGCTCAAGACACTCTGTGTATTGGTTTTTTCATGGTATTTAATGGATCTATTTATTCATTTAACTATTATTTATTGAGCACCAACTGTCATATACTGATCTTAGCATTAATTTACATGTTAACAGAAATTATCAAACAGTGATTATTATTTTAAACCCATATATGATATGAGCATTTTATGGCTAGTCCTGTGTGTGTGTGTGTGTGTGTGTGTGTGTGTGTGTGTGTGTTTGTGTCTGGGGGTAGGGGATGGGGTGGAAGGAAGGGGGCTGTAGGAGGGAGAGAGAGAGATGTTTGTTTTTTTCTTTCCTGTGTAAAATCTGCTCAATTCTGTATCTTAACTGCCATTTTATGCCAAACATGTAGTATTAAAATAAGCTTGTTTCTGAGAAGCATGTCTACACTAAGGCTCCTGGATTTTATTTTATGATGAAATACAAATTTCTCCTTTCTAAAACAAATTTTTTTATTTCATAATTTTGAATAGAATGATATTTTCAAAAACCCTTCATCTGATTTAGGGCATTAAACATTTCAGCATAATAATATTTTTCTCTGGGTTTACAGCGTTTTAATTTTACTGTTAAGTAAATAACGTTAATTAATTTTAAGATTCTGCTTTCAGAATGAAATGAAATAGTACATGCAATGCTAGTAGGTATGCCAGACTCAGAAATATTGCTTTCCTTGTTTAAATTATGTCTCCATTGTGAAACTGACAGTCAATTTCTAATAATTTCTGATTTTTATCTTTTTTCTGTGCTTTTCTCACTCCTCATGCAATATTTTGGTCCTATTTGCTTGCTCTCTCCTTTTATATAGGTCTCCCCTAGCTTCTCTTTTCAGTTGTTATTTGACTTTACTAGTCTTGCTGTCAATGCATTTTCAGTCCCTGGATTCCAGATTGCTAGTCTACATCCAACTGCTCTGTCAGTGAAAATTCTTGCTCTTTGCTTGGTGGGACATCAAAACTCGGATCATCTTTGGCTCCTGTCTCATTCAGGGATGGGTTAGTGCAAGACAAGAGAAACAGACTCCTTGGTTACACATTTAGGATTTCTCCCAAATTTCCCAAAGCCTAACACTAATCTCCATTTAAAGGCAAACAAAAAGAAAGTGGCAGAATTTTTTAAAAGGGAGGTGGGTGGTGGAATTTAGGTAGTGTTTTTTTAGCTCTGGGCCTAAGGATAAATATTATCAAGCTGGCATGGTAATACTTATAATTTGCTCCTGAACTTTTTGGAGAGAGCGCTTAAAAATTGCTTATAGGTACTAATGTTAAAATGTCACAAATACAATGTTTCCTCAATGCTTGCAAAGTAACCACAATCTACAATGAAAAGAACTGAAGTTTTAAATATAATTCATGGGTGTGGTATAAAATCGTACTGTGGATGCTACAAACAATGTCAGACTAGCCAAGTCCTAAAGATACACCCTGTTGACACTGTACTAACCTGTATTTCTAAATCTTGATTTTAGGTCCACACATAATACTAATAATAATAAATAGGAACCCTAAGAGGATGTATGAAAATGCAGGCGAAAGGCCACAGCAAAACTTTTTAGAAAACCTGCCACCGTGTAATTAAGCATTCCACTAAAACACACCCAGCTATTTTCCCATTTATATTCCATGTGCACTGAAGATACAGCCAAATAAATGAATAAGTTCATAGGAAGACAGAAAGGTCATTTTTAAGCCCTGGTTTTGGGTGTGTCAATGTTTGTCAGAACAGCAGAAGGAAGGCTGAAACAGAAAGTCGCACCTATCACAAAAGAAAAAAAATACTGCTTAAAAAAATTTTTTTTGTCTTAGAAACAAAGGTAAAGCCCAGCCTCTCCTTAAAGCCTGCGTTCTCACCTTCCCAATAGATGTTGGGTTTTAAGCAAACCTGCAGTAGAAGCAAGTCCTTTCCAGGAAACCACAGTGTCTTTCCAAGCAAGAACAGCGTGTTTCTCTCTAATGTCATTACTTTCCCTCTCATTTGGGAGTTGGTTTTGCCTTTCGATAGCAACCCAGGAAGCGGTGGTGCGCCCCAAATTGGCGAGGCTCTGCCAAATACCAGAGGCGCTTCTTAAACGAAGAGGAAGGCTCCTCCTTTGGACGTGAGGCGCCCCTACCAGAGCGCGCGCTTACAGAAACGGAAACCACTAGCTGCGCTGAAGTGAGTCAAGTGATGAAATCAAGACTGCATGGGAAGGAAGCTCACCCAATAGCTCACGAACCTAAGTGGTGACAGACACTGCTGCACCCTGCTCGTGGAAACCGCACGAGCCAACAGTGGCTGCCGTCATGAGGTGGTCCTCGGAGGCACGCGGCCCCCCCGACCTCCGGGCAGCGCACCCCTTCGTTTTGGCGAAACACAGAGGAAGGGAAGTGTGTGTGAGGGAAATCTAGACCTTCTGGTTCCCCAAGGACCCAGACTGTGTTCTGGTTACAAGGTGACCCCTGCCACGAGGTCAGCTCAGGACTCCTCAGTGTAGACGCGCTTAGCCTCGCCTGGCGCAGAGACCAGCCTCTCCTCGCGCGGAAAAGAAGAGCCGCGCGGCAGCCGCGCGGGGCCGGGACGGCGCCCCCGCCCCGCGCGCGGTCCCCGGTCCTCACCTGGAGCGCTCAGGTAGGGCTTGGGCGGGGCGGGAGGCTGGCGCGCAGGCGCGGGACGGGGGCCTCGCCCCTGCCGACGTCGCAGGCTGGAGCTCACCTGGGAGACTCCGAGAGGAAGCGGAGCCTCGGTTCGGCCTCTCCTGGCAACGCCGGAGGCCCAGCGGGAAGGCAGGAGGCGGCGGCGGAGGAGGAGCTGGACTGAGCGGCAACTGTAGCGACAGCAACCGGAGCTGCCGCCACTTGCACCTGGCGCCCGGCCCACGTCCAGCGCCCGCCCGGCCGCCGCTTCCCGCCACCTTGCTCTGCGCACCCGCCAGGTAAGCCGGCGGACCAGCGCTCGGGCCGGGGCGGGGGACCAGTAGCCCCTGGGCAGAGTCGGAGTTGGAGGGGGGTGTCGGACGGCCTCGGAGGCTCACGTGGCGGGGAGACGGGCCGGTCCCAGTGGCCAGTTAGAGATGGTCTCGAGAGCGGTGTTTCAGTTGCCCCTCGGGAGAGGCCGAAAGGGCGCCCGAGGCCGGGGAGGGGTGGTGCTCCGGCGACCTCCCTGTCGCCCTTGTCCCCCGCGGTGCCCCTGACAGTCTCTGTAAGGAGGCTCCGGAAGAGCCGGACCCGGGGCCAAGTCCTGGGGGTCCCCGAGCTGGTCCCTGGGAGGGTCGCGGAGTAGGGGGTGGGAGGCGCAGGGCCGAGCGCGAGGCGGCCGCGTTTTCTCTGGGCTAGCAGGTGGCTGGTCTCCTCCCGCGCCGGTGCCAGAGTGGCGACCCGCGGCGGGAAGGGCACTGCTTGGCCAGGCAACTTTCCCAGCCGGACCCCAGACAGCCCTAGGCTGGAAACCGCGGCCGCCCGAGCCACTCAGATGGTTTCCGAGTGGTTTGGAAGGCGCTCTGTGGTCGGGACGCGGACATCCCTTTCTCTCTGTCTGTTTCGTCTCTGCACTTTTCCGGGTGCGCTCCCAAGCCAGAGCTGCGCCCACTATCCGGTTTGATCGAGAAAAGTTATTTTCTTCGTGGCGGGAGGAAATCCAACTGCCACTCACCAACCGCACACTATCTCGTTAAAGGACCTGTTGACTTAATGACCGCATATCGCGGCTTTGGTTTGCCTGTGGCATATGACTCAAAGGTTCAAAAAAACTTTGTTTCAGGAACCTGCCACGTCTAAACCTGGGTGTGCCAGGCCCAAATTCCTTTCCCTGCCTAATTAAGCTTTTCTGAAGCCCAAGAATTGAGGGTGAAACTGGTGCTTACCTTACACTTTTATTTCCTTTTCTCTCCCAACCCATCAAAGCACTTCCTTCTCTCTCAAAAACTCATCAAAACAGTTCACTTCAAATTTATCAAATAACTATTTCTGTTTTTAGAACCCCATGGAGTTACCAGTTCTTCTGGTTTTCAGAAGACCTTATTCAGCAAACATAACTTGCCATAGAAATTATACTACATAATGAAGACTTCTAAATTCAAATTGTATTGTTAAACATTCAGCAAGTTACTACATTTATGTGAGAATTTCTGTTTTGGGGTATATCTGTTTCTTTCACTGAATTTTTCTTTGAGTTTGTGGCTAAAATACACAAAGTTAAAGTCATACCCTACAATTAGATTTCTTTAAGTTTAACTTTGACTTTTCATATCTGAAGTCTAGCATACATACTAGTTTAAACATTCTGAACAGTTTGTTCGTACCAAGCATTTTTTGCATTGCTTTAACTAGCATTTTTACATAGAAGTTTCTAATAATAAATGGCAACCTCACTGCTTAAATTTGTTTGGTAACATCTTTGCTAATTTTTAAAAGATATATTTTAGATTGCATACTTAACATAGCATGCCTTAGGAAACACATCTAGCCTTTTTTTTTTTTAAGGTGCAGTTAAAAAGCTAACCACAGCCCAATAGGACATAATTATTAATGATCCTTTCAACCAGTGCTTTCTGCTTTTCTTAAAAGAGCCTCACCTGCCCTGTTAATCTTGTCTCCATATGGAGAAATAAATATGCTAAATACTATTTAAAAATTAGATGTAGATGCTGCTCTCTAAGTCTAGGGTATTAGTTTAATCTCCGTTGATTATTGGGCCAGATGTTATTAGACTATCTTTACTCTTAACTGTATGGAGAAAGATAACATATTTGCATTAGCTAGAGTAACAGTGTGCCTCAGTTAAACTATCTGTAAAATAGGAAAAATAATACTTCCCTACATTATGATAATGAGGGTTTAACAAATCAAGAATCTCTTCTAGCCCTGCTTTCTTAGGATCCCCTTCTCACTTTGGATATCCAGTCAGTCCATCCAGTTTGGGATAAACTGAAGCTAAGAGAAATATTCTAACTTCAGTTCTCCGAGCAAATTAGTGGTAGACACGGCAATATTATTTGAGTGGCTTGACTCAAGACTTGTGTTATCTTTACTTTTCACCACCCACATCCTCTTTATCATAAGATGTTGATTTTTTTTGTCTTTCATATAGTTTGTAAGCCTTTGTAATTACACAATAGTCAATTGTTCTTTGTCCAGCTCTTATTTACCCTAATTTCTACTTGTCCAGATGATACCTGACTCCAGGGAGAATGAGGCCATCATTCTCTTCCTCTCACTGTGGATCACATGTGTACTGAAGATGCCATGTGGACTGAGATTTTTAATCCTTTCTTGGTATTTCAGAGCCATAGTTAATTTTTTGAGTCAACATAGACAACATAATTTAGTCCTCTGATCTTTTATTGTATTGGCCTGAAATATATTTTATGAGGCAGCAACCCAGAGTCATCCTTCCACTTGCAACACTCTCGATTTTTGGTTGGCAAGCACACTTCCTTAACATCAATGTTTTTTAAACTTTTTTTGGACTACAATCTTCAGTAAGAAATGCATTCAATGCCTCAACACAGTATGCTTAAGTATGTGTGTATATCAATGAAACAAGTTTTACAAAATAGTACTTAACCTTACAACATGGGTATTCTCTATTTAATTAAAAAAAATTGGTCTTAAAACACTGCTTTGATTTTATGACCCCAAATAGACTGGAACCTACAATAAAAATAGTATCCTATTGAATTTACATTTTCTTAAGGCTCATTTTCTACCAGTTTACTATGTCTTACACATACACACACAGAGGAACACAAATACACAAGCATGCATTCACAAGAAAGAAAGGTAAACTATACCTTTTTAATATATAAAATTAAACTGTAATCCTTATTAAACATTTATTGGAAGTCTTGAGATTCTAGGACTTGGTGCTAGACTAAACCTCTCAAACGTTAGAACTGCATGAAACCTGACTGTCCATTATTGTATCTTAAATGGATTCTCAGCATATTGTAGTATGTTTGGGGATAGGAAAAACTGAAAAGTTTTTCTGAAGAGACAGTGGTAACAATTATCAAGTGAAAGTTTGACAGAGAAAAAGAATTCTATCCAGCTCTATTTTAAGTTCTAAATTTTATGGTTGAGTTATAGTGCTGGGTGGAGTCTGAAAAAAATGATTAAACAGGCAAGTTTATTATTTGGTTTGTAGTCTGCTCATGTATCTTTTTTTTTTTTAACTATGAAACAGATATAAGACATATGGTAGGAATCATACCACGTATGCTCCCCACGAAAAAAAAGAGTAGATGGAGAGATTGAGATATTAGATCCCTAAAGGACCCATAGGAATGTACGCTTGGAAACTGTTTAGATGATTAAGCCTTCCATGGAAGCTTTTAGTTTTAATCTGCCTTCAGATTCCTGGTCAAAGGAATTTTTCTCCAAAAGAAAATATTAATGTATTTAATATTTTAAAGTAATCAATGTCCCAGTCATCTTCAGACATACTCATTTCTCTAGTCTGTAAAGTATGAAAAGACCTTTGGTATGACAGATCTTTTATGGTTATGAAATCTGATTGAGAAGGAAATGTTTTCAGTCACCTATCTAACTATGCATCTAGTTAGTGTCGGAATAATTACTTTTATATAATATGGGTAATCGTAACACAATTAATATACTGCCAGTAGCGACACTGAATTCAGATCAGTGCCGGCAAAGGCAAAAGACCAAAATGCATTAACTTATGGCAAAGCAGAGACAAACAGGACTCTGAATTCTAGGTCACTCGTGACTCCTGACAATGAGATAAAAATCTCCTTCAGTCATTCTCTGAGTTGGGCTCATGTTTTTGGCACTGAATAGAGAGTATTTTCCCAAGTCCACATTTTCCCTATAATTGCTTCAGCTTCAAGCTATCCAAACTAGTTTACTCTTCTCATCTATTCCATTGCCTGCTGGACATCTTTAAGATGTCATAATTACCTGAGATTATACATGTGTAAACCAGAACCTTCATCCCATCAACACAGAACCCCCTCCTCAAAAAAACAACCTATTTTATTTCCTATGTTTTATTTATAGCTATTATTACATTTACCATTTCTTATCCGCAATTCCACCCTTCCCCCCAAAAATCTCTGATTTGGTTAAAATTTTTGGTTAAGGCGTTTGTCAGCAAAACTTGAATGCATTTGCTGCAAACCTGAGTGAACTATAAGCTATTTGTCATCTACTCTGCTTGGTAGATGTGTCCTGCTGCGGAAATAGTAGTGTTTGATTACATGGTACTGTCCTAGACCCTGCTGGGGGTACACAATTATATTGGGTGTGTAAATTGTATCTCCTAACTTCCAAAGTATTCTAAATTTGGAAAGACCTTTGGTTCCTGGGATTTTTGAGAATGGGTACCACCATCCAAGTGTCGTGCCGGAAATCCAGAGGCCATTTTTTACTCTGTTTCCTTAGCTTCCACAACTATCAGATCACTTAATTTTCTTAAGATTTTCCATGTATTCTCCCCCCACCCCGCCCAATTTCTCTCCTACTGCTCTCTTTCTGGATCTTGCCAACTTTTGACTTGCGTACCACAGACACCTGCTATCTGATATCTCAGTGGATATAGTGTTAAACTCAAATCCATCCTCAGCAGAACCCATAAGGGGATGATCTCTTTAAAGATGTAAACCTGAACTTCTTTCTCTTCTGCTTTAAGTCATTTAATAACTTTCCACAGCTCACAGGAGAAAACCTGTGGCCTTTAAAATGGTCTCACAGGATCTGACCCTTGTTTAACTGTGGATTTATACTGTGTATTCTGAAATTTTATTTTCTAACAACAGATTTCTTTTCCCCCCTGTTTGCTTCTCTTTTGTTACTCTCTACTGCTGAGAGTACCTTCCATTTTGTCTTTATCTCTTTTACTCTTTCTGGTTCTTAAGAGTCAGCCGAGATCTTACCTCATTCAGAACACTGCACCCCTGCCTCCCCCAACACACAC